AAGATATGGTAGCCATTTGACATTTGATTGGTCTCATTGTTGAGAATTTTTAGATGGGATATCGTGATGGCCTATTAGCAGGAAAAGATGCTTCTTCACAAGAAGGGTTTAATATTGGATTTAAGCAATCAGTGGTCGCAGGTTACAACTGGGGGCTTGTTAGAGGTATTACAAGGTAAAACATGTCCATCTTGCTAAATGCTAATGTATTTGATTTACAGAACATGTTCGTAGATCGGATTTTCTTTTCAAAATATGTGTCTTTTTCTTACTGATGTTCTCTTTTGGTTGAACTGCCTTATCAAGTGCCGTGGCTTGTCTTCCAGATGGGTTGAGGGAGAGTTTCATTAAAACCCAAGACAAGAGAACCAAATTCCAGGAGTTGCATGAATGTGTGCAGTCTCTCTCAACAACAGATGCGCTTAAGTTGTTTTACGAAGACATAATGACAAAGGAAGCTCTGCAACAGAGTGGAACTTCTGAGGGCAGTGTCAATGTTGCAGATTCACAAGTGCAAAGTTCAGATAGTAATCATCTTGGAAATTACTCTGGAGAGCTTCAATCACTCCTTGAATCTTCCGAAATCAAAGTACAATTAGCTCTAGAGAAGTAGGGAGTAACGTGGTACAACACTGATGTGTTCAAAAATATGGTGTACAGTTTGGTCTATCAGAAAATCAGGGCTTTTTCGTTGCAATTCTTTGGACCTAATAATTTCCTGGTTGTTCTTTTTGACTTAATATGCACTTTTGTCTGATATAATATGAACAAAGCCAAATGGCTAGCTCCAACTTGGACTTGAAGTTGGAGTTGTTAAACCATGCGAGCTCAAGTTTCTGTTGTTGCAGTCTTTCAAATTGATAGATTAAAGAACAAAAAAAATGCCTTGTATAGGCTTCTCTCAAATGTAATTACTATACGAATCAATTTATGAATACATTTTTGTTCTCTGGCACACTTAAACAGATCAATAACCTTTTTAGGGATGATACAGCGGAAGCATTCATTCAAGCATATAATTTACTGAAGAAGCCATGCGTTCTTTCCTCTACTCAAACTACATAATTATATATGTTGGTGGAAATGGCAATCGTGCTCGTTACCACAGCCAGAACCAACATTGTTGCTGCCACTACCCTATCCCTAGTAGTCGATATCCCATGAACATCCCTATAATTGTCAACACAAAAACACCATATTAGGCAGAAATGTGTGTGGAGTGAAGGAGTATGGGAGCAAATGCAGACAGTTTCCCAGTTACCTTAGAACAATCGCGGCGGGGAAGATGAAGGCTAGAGAGACCACCGTGGTTGATCCTACGAATTGAAAAAAGTACCAGATGTTGGGGATGGCAATGGCTGCAAGGTAACATACGGCTAGGAGGAAAAGAGTCAGGGACAGAAATCTGGTGTTGTCCTTTGCCAGAAGAGGCTTGTGGGGGAAGATGAATTCGTCAATATTTGACCTCAATGAGAAGTTCAAGAGAGGAAAAACCAGCATGATGTGGAAGGCATAGCTTAACCTCACTACATCATTGAGTAATGACCCCATCGGAGAAGAAATATGATCAAAATTTACAAGTATATCCGACATGACTTCTTCTCCAAAGAGTAGGTATCCAAAAACTCCTATGGCGAAGTAGATGGCAGCACACAGTACCAGAGAAATTTTGACTGCTGTAGTCATATCAGAAGGTTTCTCCATCTCAAACCCAATTGGATGAACTGCAATGATCAAAAAAGAATTTGGAAAAACTGCATACAGTTGGTGATTGAGATTGCGTAGAACAAGATAGTTTCTGAGTTCAGATTCTCACCATTAAAATGGAACGTGAAAGCTGTCACAATTACGGGGACCGCAGTGAAGAGATCGAAGACAGAGGTTTTGTCATCTGGTAGGAGTTTTGGGTTCTTTGCTTTCCCTTCTATGAGTGCAGCAATGGCCATCACTGAACTTATTCCGACAAACACCACGGCGAGAAAAACTGATACTGCAGATGTGAACCTGAGAGACTCTGTAAATCCATCCCGATAGGACAAAGACAGTAAATTAGATCCTATTTCATGGGTATCGATCTGAACGGAGATATAAGTAAAGACCGGAATTCACTCACCTACTCGCCGGAACAAAACCAGCGGAAATAAAACGAAGACTACAATGAAAAGCAGAGCAAACGGACGTGAGCACCACCAGTGAATTCCGAACCATTCTTGCAAAACACCCAGGTGAATCGATTCTCCGTGCTGGTTTCCGGTAAGAACATCCCCTGAGGAAACAAAGAAATATCCATCAGTAAAGATCTATGAAACATTTTATCGAACACACCTGGCACTCACCAATGATGATCAAGAAAACAATCAAGCAACCCAGAGTGGTGACGATGACACAAATCTGCACCAGAACCGATCCCACCTGCCCGAATGACTCCTTCATGAGACCACCGTACGTCGTGGAGTCTCCGGCATGAGTAAACCTCAATAAAAACTCCACCGAGATGTCAGCCAGCCAAGCAACAGCCACGATCAACAGAAACGCCGGAACCACACCGAGCACCTTGGTGGTGGCCGGAATTGACATAATCCCGGCACCAATAATACTCGTGGAGACATTAAACACGGCTCCAGAAACTGATGCGTGTTTCGCTGACAACTTGCTCTTTGGAAGTAGCGGTGCATCAGCACCTCCGGTAACCGGAGAAATACCGCCCATGAGATATGTGCTGGCTGCTGCGCAGAGGAAAGGGTGGGGTTTGACTGGGTTGTCTTGTCTTGTTGTTCATAATAATGCATTTTAAAAGGTCGGATGGATTTTACCAAAAAAAAATAAAAAAAGGTGGGATGGTGGTGTGGGCTAAATGACCAAAATGTCTGCAAATCACGTGTTTTTTTTTTTTAACATCTGATAATAATGAAGTGATATAAGTGTAAATAATCCTATCTTTTTCTAAATTTTTAACTATTTAATTTAACATTTGTATTCGAAATTCTTAACTTTAATCTTTAATCTTAAACTTTTTATTATTAAGCTGCCACTTGGGAATACAAATCATATGATATTTGAATAATTGAGTTTCATGCAACGAAGGGTGAGGTTTAGTTTGACAATCTTATTTATTGTTGTCCTGTAATTATAATTGTTAAAATTATTATGTTATGTTGTCATAAAAAAAATTTTAATATTCAATAGTTATATTTTAAAAATTATTTATTATAAAATTATTTAGTTAAATCCATTATTATTTAAAATTAAATTAATTAATAATATAATATATAATGTATAAAAAAATTAATAATTTAATTTATTGTTGTCTTGTAGTTATAATTGTTAAAA